CACCACATCGTCTTGACCAACTTTTGGGAGATGCGAGAGCGAAGTTGTCCAGCGATAACAGGCAGCCATGTTGAACGCAATAACCGGAAGACGCAGTACACTGCTTCAGCAATTTTTGGCGGCCTCTTACGGCTTTCTATTGTGATGCGATAAAGGCCTATATGCGTTCTTGTCTGTACTTGTGTTCTTGTGGACTTGTGAAACACCATCAGTTGCTGCCCAAGTACTGTTCCAATTCAAAGTTCATCTTGCCAAGGCTGTTTCTCAATTCCAAGAATGCAAGTTCCCACTGAGACCGGTCTTCCCGGGCGACCTTGAAAGAACAAACTGGGAAGGACGTGAGGACACAGATCGCACCCTTGTGAGAATTGAGATGATCTGCAATCTTGCTGTTTAACTGACCATCTCAGCAAATAGCGATTAACGACCAAAGCACAATAAATACAACATAACATCACAAACAAATATCACAACCTATTAAACATTTCTTTCATATTATTATAGACATCGTTTTCATATAAGTTTATATCTTTTTTATTTTACCATGTGTATTTATGAGTAGGTTACATATGCTTTGTCAATGTTAAGATTCTTTATATGCCAATAAAAATACAGCCGCTTTCTTAAGGTCTTTATCACTTTATTAAAATTAAGCAAAAGAGACGGACAAATGTTTATTTTTCACGAGCTGTCACATCAAGAACACAAACTATTGGCCTTGTGGGTTTATCATCCACACTGATGCCCTCTGGTTAGGGTCTTCTCCTGACGGGGTTGTATTTGACCCAACCGAAAACCCTCCCTATGGTTTGGTTGAGATTAAATGTCCAAATTGCAAGAGCTATGTTGATTGCAAGTACTTGAAGTTGCATGGCAACACAATGCAATTAAAACGGCAGCACAGCTACTACTGGCAGGTCCAAGGCCAGCTTCTAATAAGTGGAATGGAGTGGTGTGACTTTGTGGTGTTTGCAGAGGATGACATGGTCATCCAAAGAATCTACAAAGATGCAGAGGTTGCACAAATCATTAGGGAGAAGGGGGATCACTTCTTTTTTTATTTTTACATGGCTGTGTGTTTGAAATAGATACTGTTACTATTTACTGTTACTCTTAGAATAATTTACAGTAAATCAGTTCTATTTTTGTATGTATTTATTAAATTGAATCAGTTCAGGTTTTATAGATTTGTAAAAATGAACAATAACATCTCTACATTTGAGGATGTTTGTAACCATACAACATACAGTATCAGTTCAAGTTTTGTATAGATTCGTAAAAATGAACAATAAAACTTGAACAAAGAAATTGGAACTGATTATAAACTGATTCATAAAAATTCTAGTCCATTCATTTCTGTGTTGCCCATGCCTTAACCAGTGGTCCATTCTGGTAATTCACCAAGAGACAAGCGACGGTGAACAACTGGTCAATGCTCCCACACACTGACAGAGGAATGACTTTATCAAACAGTTTGTTCTCTTTTACTCGCCTGATGCACCTCTCAACATGCACTCTCGCACGGGCAATAGACTGTGTCTGCTGGACATCCTCTTTGGTCATCTGTTTGTTTCTTGCAAGGAAAGCAGGTCGGTAAACCTTTCCAGAAAAGAGATTGTCCACAAGAAAGCCTTTGTCAACCATAATGGCCATCTCTGGTGTGAGGAGTTTGGCTATTCCTGACTACTTAAAAATTTCCTGGTCACTCATGGAACCTGCATACAGAGGTGACACAAAGGTGATGGGACCATGAGGTGCAATGCCAATCATGGCCTTTAAAGTGGTGTGTGACTTGTATGGGGAGTAGACTTCGCTGTGCAAAAGAAGAGAAGAGGGAGTTTGGCAAAAGATTTCTGTGCAGTCAAGCACCACTTGTGTGTCTGGGAACAAAGCAAACTCAGGTGGTAGATGAGCCTTTAATTCCTCTGGTGGTATCCACAGGCGGATGGAACCCAGTAGATAATAGAGGAAATGTGTCCACGATGTAATTATTCTGCTTGCTGTGGTGGTATGGATGTTGAAGCGTTTGGCTAGGTCCCTCAAATGCAGGCCCACAGAAAGGTGCATCAAGAAAAGCAGTAACTCATCTATCGGTGCTAGTCTCTGTTAAAAAACAAAAACACACAACACACTAGAAATCACTTGTACTGTAGTATTAATGTTGCCCTAACAAATCATCTGAAAACACCCTTGATTAATACTGGAGCCTTTGACAGTCAAGATATGTCAAGTAAACTGTAACAAATGTTAAGACTAACAACATAACTTACTGATGGTCTCAGAAGGCGAGGTTCTTTGGAGGCAGCATGGACACTGGTGATCCGTACCATTTTAGTTGTTGCAGCAGGCTCCACCATTTGCCAAAAGGCCTGGAAATGCTTGTATGATGCAAATCTGCAATGAAATTATAATCACTTTAGAACTTTATGTTCATAATAATACAAAATGATGACTGACATATTATTGATGGAACAACATACTTTTACAAATTTTACTTCAGTTTCTCAAAAAGGAAATTTTACTTTTACTCGAGTACATTTTTTAGGGAGTAATTGTACTTAAACTTTAGTATAGATTTTCAGTACTATAACCCCCACTGCAACCCAGACACACATAGAGTTAGCTACTACATACAATTGCATAATAGCATGGACCAACCTTGTGTAAAAACGAATATCCTCATCAGATCCTTGGAGGTGTTGGAGTCCAAACCGAGACAGCAGTTGCAGTGATTGGACTTGTTGTTGCAGCTCCTCTACCTTTCTCCTCAGGGCTTTGTTTTCATCTGCCAGCTGATGTGTGACAAGTGCAGTAGTGGGGGTGACACAGTAGGCGTGATCACGATGTACAACTTCCTTCTCTGTGACCACCGCGTTTGTCAGACGCCATCGGTAGGTCAGGGGAAGGAGGCCTTGGCCGACGTTGCCAGACATTAAGCTGAGGTGCCGGTACGCTGAACTCATTCCAGGCAAACAAACAAGGGACACTGCCTTTCTTCAGTCCTTTCTCCCCCCCAGTCGTCGTTACAAAATCTTCAAAAAGGAAATGACAACTGCAGACACGAGTGCATTCAGTTGGAGTGAAGCTATCCCTGCGGATCTTGACTAGCCACTTTGATCTCACCTCAAGATCCACAGGGAAGCGATGAAAACTAATCGTTCCATTGTATTTCGACGAATTTCCACACATCGGCACACAACAGTGTAAAGACGTTCGTCTGGATTGAAGCTGTAATTTAATTCGTTTTTCTTTTACTCTTGAGAAACTCATAATTGCCGTCTAACTAAACTATCACTCTCTCGCTCTCTCTGACAGGAGATAACGTCAACGTAACCGGAAGTTGTGTGGCCTACCGTGACAACCCGGAAATATCGAACGTTCTGTTTATGCAACAAGCCTATCTGACCCCAAACACCTTAAACGGCAGAACAACCAAAAGTCTCATATACCCCTGAGATGAAGGTAAAAATGAAGGAAAGGTCCAGTGGGGTCAGCTGGACCCCAAACACTGATTAAGGTATAAGAGTTTTTCAGGCGATAATGTAGTTGTTTAAACCTCAAGCCAGTTGTTTATTTAGAAAGATTGTGCATATTTGAAAATTTGATCTGATGTTTTCGTAGTTGTGATATCCAGTCATTCGCGGGCGCTCAGCGCTCATGTAGGCCTACCTATCCCGCCGAGAACAGCTTAAGGCTACCTCGGCTAGTTCTTCTGACGTTTGTCGCTGGCTCTCATAGATACACTAGATATCGCCTTGGGGTTAAGCATGCGTCAAAACCATAGGTCAAAACCGCCGCCATCTTGGAACACGCTGCTATCTCCGCCTGTACTTCGAATTCATGGATTTTCGGACTTTTGTGCTGTGTATGGATGTTCACACGAACGAAATCTGAACTAGGAAGAAGAATGTTTAAAATATATATATATATATTTTTTATTTTCTCTGGACAATGATAAATACATGTCTGACCATTGGAACGAACCAAAAAACTAAAAAATCGCATTCATGACGATTTATGGTGATTTTATTTCCGTTAGACCTTTGCCTACATTGACGCTTAACGTTATGCATTAAAGAGGAGGGGCTCCCCTGTTCCATGATGGCAGCATTCGTTCCAATGAACTGCCGTAGCCAAGGCGACATCTAGTGTGTATCTATGAGTCTATGGCTGGCTCTGATGTCTATGTAGTGCAGGGGCGTAGAATTTAGTAGGGACGCTAGGGACGTGTCCCTACCAATATCCAGTGACAATGATATATCCCTAGCAATAATTTCGATCAAACTTAAAATATATTTATAAATTGATGTCCCCGTCCCCACCAATTTCAAAATCAAACCTACGCCACTGATGTAGTGGTTAACAATTAGATAATTATAATTCTTCTCGTGTGTATCAACGGGCGATCTTTGGTCTCATGAATCTATTGTTCCCTGCAAATCGTTTTGGCTGAGGGCAAATTTAGGCTATTTAACTATAGTCTAAGAGCGCTGACTTTGTACGTCTGATTTATTTCTTATTGTATTTCAAATTATTCCTTTTACTTATACTTTTAAAATGGCTATTATTGATCACTAAAACTGACGTTTAACAAAAAGAGAAAGGGTTGTTTAAACGGTTACATTTCATTTTATTATCAGATTATGCACATTGATGTTTTATATTTTTAAAATGTAAAAGAGGGTTGTGTTTATTATGTTTTGTTATAAATATTCACGCAGTGAAGATATACGCTTTACGGTTTTTTAAATGAAAACGAAAAGAGAGTGAGTTTTACAACATATTTAGTTTTATTGTTGACTAAAATATAAATACTGAGATAACCGGAGTAGCCAGAGCGAGCTGAGACGAGAGACGCCCCCAAGAACGCTGCTGTTCCATTTGCAGAAGTTCGTTCTCCTCAGAGCCGTTGCACTTGCTGGTTCTCCTGAGTCGAACCTGGCTGGCAAGTCCAAACTTTGCGTAGCAGCTATACTTTCAGGAACGCCCATCTCTTCAGATCACGGAAGCAGGAAATAGTTTCTGGTGCACCTGACGCATTGTCAAACCGTCTAGTAAAACATACCAGGGTGAGATAATTCGTTCAGCCATCGGTAAGATACAACATTTCTTGCCCACATTTTATAATAAATCTATAAACTAACTTAAGCGGTGTCATACTTCGGTAAATATTTTGTTGTTACAGAATAGAGATGGAAATTGTAGGCTACAAGGTTTAGATTTGATGTTTCATAACGATTCTTTTAATACAATTGAGGGCGAACAAATTAACGTTTACGGCATTCAACGTTACAGCCTTCAGCAGGTGTTGCCAAATGATGACATCATTTTAACAGAATTAACAGATAACAAAACGAATATAAAAGTAATGCAGTTCTTGTAAAATATTTGTGTACCTAGACGTTTAATGTTTTTTTTTTTTAACAGCAGGATAACATCACACAGTTCTTAGTTTATTTATATTTCAGACATGACGAAATTGATTCATCAGTATGTGAGTCAAATATCTCCAACTGATCCATAAGTGTTTTGATTAAAGAATCGGTTCATAAGAGTTTGGATATTCACTTAAAAGAACCGACACAAAAGATTCGTTGTTTGGGAATCGAACTATTGTCGAACTGCATGTTTCATGCCGTTGAATACGTTTTGCTTCTTAAACTTAGGCCTATAAATATTATTTATCGTTTATGCTTTATGTATGTTTTTAATGACAGCTTAATTTTTATGATCTTTTCAAACGAACTAGTCTTTTTAGGTCACTATGTCAGAGAAAGAAGAGGAAACATTTAAGTCTGTGGACTTGAAGCAGCAAAATCAAAAGTCTCCAGTCACGTCAGAGAAAGATGAGGAGACATTCAATTCTGTGGACTTGGAGCAGCAAATTCAAAAGTCTCCAGTCATGTCAGAGAAAGATGAGGAGACATTCAAGTCTGTGGACTTGAAGCAGCAAAATCAAAAGTCTCCGGTCATGTCAGAGAAAGATGAGGAGACATTCAAGTCTGTGGACTTGAAGCAGCAAAATCAAAAGTCTCCAGTCACGTCAGAGAAAGATGAGGAGACATTCAATTCTGTGGATTTGGAGCAGCAATTTCAAAAGTCTCCGGTCACTATGTCAGAGAGAGAAGAGGAAACATTCAAGTCTGTGGACTTGAAGCAGCAAAATCAAAATTCTCCGGTCACTATGTCAGAGAAAGATGAGGAAACATTCAATTCTGTGGACTTGAAGCAGCAAACTCAAAAGTCTCCAGAACCAGACATCCATCCTCAACAATCTCCCAGTGAAACAGAAAAACCCAGCACACCTGCTGCAGAGGCCAAGGCAGAAACCACCCCCTCTCCACGTGCCTCAGCGGTCAAAGCTAAATGGCAAACATCTGCACAACAGTTTAAAGTCAAGAAATTTTTTGTCCTCAGGGTAATGTCTACTTTTTAAGTCTCATCGAAGTCTCTGTGTTTTCTGTGTTGAGGGCAAATCGATGTTCTACTGTGTTTGTAATCATTCTGACACATAATCTACACTTCTTTTGTATGTTGAGTGGTGTGGGGCAAACAAACCACGGTTGCTCTGCAGTACAATAGAATGAGGATATTCATACAAAAGGTGTGGTCAGCAGCAATCACCTTTTCAGCAAACAATGATAGTCTTAATACTCTTCACTCGTGGAGTACTGACATGTCTGCCAATATTCAGTTAAACATATATTCCTCACCTGCAGAGATCACTGAAAGCTGTCTTCCTGTTTTCTGTTTCCTCAGTCTACCTGAGGAGATTTGAATAGCAAATAGTGTCTGTTGGCCAGCTCAAAGACCAGATTTTGTTTTGTGAAAGTGGTGAAATGGGATCACTCATCCCTCAAAACCATTGTTCCCACTTACTCTAAAATAGAATTCCATTTTTATGACTAAGCACTATATTGTATTGTGTCTGGTATTGTAATCAGTGGCATCTTTGTCTCTGTATTCCTGGTGTGGCTCAACACTAACAAATTAATAGTTATTGTCATAGTAGTTAGAATCAAATCTTATAATATTTAGAATCAAATAGTTTCAAATAAATAAAACGGACTCGCCAAAGAATGTTGCCTGTAGGTAATTTGTAGGATCTTTTCAGTATACATCTGGCATACAAAGCACATCAAGGCTGACTTCTTTTAAAGTTTTAATCCATTTCAATGTTTCTTTCATATGGACACAATGTGCACAAGAACATGAAATGCTAATATTTGGTCAGTGTCAAACACACCCTTTTATAAAACATTTTTTATATGAACACTGGAAGAACATTGTGAACGTGACATTTTCCACTTCTCCAATGATTTACTGACAAAAATGTGTACAGTTATATGGCTTCAACATCCCAGACATTGTTTAACAAATAGTTTCACTAAATAAAATTGTCTTGTTAAAGGAACTTAGAACAAGTTTAGTTTGCATAAAAAAATATTTTAAAATGCCCCACTGGCCCCTAATGTACAGATGTCACTGGTTGTGATATGACTTGATGAAGATTAATTGTTGTGTTATGTCACATTTTAGCCTGGGACATTGGACCAAGGCATTGAAGATGTTAAATCGTTGGTGGATCCCACAGAAGATGGTGCTGTCCAGAGTGTTTGGCTCGTGGCTGAGTAAGAGTTTTTTTCTTTTTCAAAAAAACACCCTAGTTTAAGAGCACTTTTGAAGTAACCAAATATTGACTGCTCTGCTAATGTGCAACATTCACGTGGAGTAAGAGAATCTCATTTAGTTCTTTCACATGGCACTCACTCCAGGACACAATCCATTATCTCGCTCTGTGTTCTGTAAATAAGTAAAATGTACAGGAAATAAAGTGAAATAAACAGGGAGCAGAATGGAGCTGCTAAAATACATTTTGATAAATGTGTTGGCAGATGACATCTTCTATCTGTCTGTGAGCAGGCTTTCAGGAAACAGTTTGAAGGCCTTGCTATGTGATAATTAATAATATATATTATATTTCCCATGCTCCAGAGTAGTACCCAGAAGTACACACACACACACATACTTATTTACTGCTCTGTGGTTTGAGCTTAGGCTTGAAACAAAAGATGAAGTTCATGGAATTCATTCTTTTTGACTGATATATTTATTGATAGACATTGTAAGAAATAGCTTTAGCTGTACCTTGCCTTTTTGTGCTGTCAAAACAAAGACAATTGAAAGGCATAATAGGTTAGTTGCGTTAAATTAGCTTTAAATAGTCTCGTATTCCACATGTTCATTATCAAAGGATTCCTATAATAATTAAATGCATTATCTTGCCCTGTGCATGCCCTCACATTATGTGCATAATTTAAAATAAATGTAAAATAAGCTCATACAAAAATGTACAGTACCATGTAGGGGTGTAACAATATATCGTGCCACAATATATCGCAATACAAAAATGCAACAATACGTAATCACAAAGCCTTCTACTGTATGTGAACAGTCGTCCAACTCTTTGAAAACCTAGCAGTAATTTAGGGCTCCAGACTAAAATTTGGGAGCAGTAGCAGTTCTACAGATGGTGGCGCCGGCACCTGATTTGGTATAGTAATTAGTTAATTCAATCATAAAATTATTACTGTTTTGCATTAATAAGTACAGTTACTAATAATACTATTACACGTTTGTTTATTGGAAATTCAACAGTAAAGCACTGAGCTTGAATTGAGATGCAGATAAAATTAACTTATTAACAAAGGTAACTTGCAAAATCCTAATAAGACCCCCCCCCCAACAAGTCAATAAGTGCTCCTTTGCCACCATCTACTGGTTATAGTAGTAATTTCATGTATTTGTAAAAATAAAGGTGTTTCTCTGCCACTAAGTGTTAGGGCCCTATTTTAACGATCTAAGCGCATGGTCTAAAGCGCACTGTGCAAGCGCACTGAAATCCACTTTTGCTAGACAGGAAAAATGGCCGGCACGCCAGGCGCATGGTCTAAAAGGGTTGTCCCTATTCTCTTAATGAGTAAATGGGTGTGTTTTGGGCTTTACGTGCAATAAACCAATCAGAGTCTCATCTCCCATTCCCTTTAAATGCCAGTTGCGCTCGCACCATGGCGGATTCGCTATTTGATAGTGGAAAGACTCAACGCGTCTCCAGAGAGCAAACGAATCTGCTCGTGCGCGAGGTTAAAGAGTGCGAGCAGACCATCTACGGGACAAGCCGGATTCCATCATATATTTATTTACACAATAATAATCTTTTACATTGTAATCCTTTCATTTTTAATATTTGGCATGTTTGTGTGATGCTGCGCAAGTGTTGGATGTACGTGCGTTGTGGACCCGCCTAAAGGCGCACATTACTAACAAGCTCTTTAAATAACAAAAAAAAAAATATTGCGCCATTGACTTTAGACCAGGTTTCAGTTGGTCAATGGCACAGTCTATTTCAGTTGCCTCGAAATAGCAATGTGCCATCATTGTGCCTGCCCTGAACACACCTCGTTTTCAGACCAGCACGCCCATGGGCGCACAAATGGGCGCAAATGCATTTGCTATTTAAAGGGCACCTATTATGGCATTTAAAATGTTCCTAATATTGTTTTGGTAGTCCCCAACAACAGTTTTACATGCATGCAATGACAAAAAACACTTTTGTCTTATAATATGCATTTATTTTTACCGGATTTGCTCACCGACTACCAAATGATTCGTTCAACGACTCATTTTTCCAAACCCCTCCTTTGCGTGACGCTAATCTGCGGTGATTGGTCAGATGATCCAATCAGTTATTGTTTGCGTTAGCCCAACGCATAAACATATTGATAAAGCACTGCAGTATTACAAGGTATTGCTCTATTCTTTATGACAACTCCAATAACAACGACATACATTTCACATATTTTTTTTTTTTTTTACATTGGAGACCTAGAAGCTAAACATAACTTACACAACACACACAAATACTTATTGAGCATGCTACAAAACACATAAAAGCAACAATTATCAATAATACTTACAGGTTGTGATTCGGAGGAGGAAGCTGATGCAAATAAAATTGGTACTGAACCTTCCTTCAGTATAAACCGGCTCGCGAATCCACACTTGAAAGCATTTATGTTTGTAAAGCAATCGTCATTAAAATGACGCGAACACAGCACAAGGTTCGGCCTATACTTGTGTGGTATAGTTGTATATATGAACTGTAGCCACTTAGTCTTCAAATGCTCCTCCCTGGGCAGTGAAAAAAGGTCGCTTTTGATTCGCACTTCAGAACACAGCGTCTTGTTGTCTACATGATGTTTTCAAGTTTACCCTGGTGTCTGCGCGTACAATGAGTGGGCGTATCTTATTCAAATAACTTGTCAAGTTGACGTCGGGCTGAAACTAGCAAAAAATACTCGGGTCGTGCCTGGCGCTCCATTGCGCCGAGTGTATGATAGGGCCCATGGTTTTCTTACATCTTTTAGTTTTACAAATCATCACATTAATAATAACATTTAAATTGGATAATATTTAGAGCTTTGAAGTTCTGTAATAGTGTGAAGCACTTTAAAGCCCTTGAAAAGTGCTTGAATTTCACTCTCAAGAGACCCTGAGATGAATAATGTAAAAAAAAAAAAAACATTTATTTCTAACTATTTCTGCCACAATACCATGGTTACAGTTAGCATTACTACATTAAATCTTTGGTGAATGTTGGTGATTTGTGGACTGGAAAGCCTTCTATACTTGTTCATTCATGGCACAATGTTTCTCCTGGTTTCCACGTCAGCGATGTTTGATCTGATATCTGTGAATTTGAATGCTTCCTACAAGATCTCGCTGTGATGTTGTTAATTCTGCTGTGAATTCCAACGCTTTCTCGCTGGATCTCTCAGCGCTGTGTAATAATGCCGTTTATCAGTGGAACAAAAGTGGAACGAAACCGTACTACTCGTTTGAGCTGCGCAGTGTGGACCGTTTATCAGCTCGTAGCAATAACAGACACGCGACAGCGACAGCGCGACAGCGTGTCTGTTATTGCTACGAGCTGATAAACGGTCCACACTGCGCAGCTCAAACGAGTAGTACGGTTTCGTTCCACTTTTGTTTCATTTGCCGTTTGATATTTCTCATATGCAACAGAAATAGCACATCTCAGTTGGGAAACGTGATGGTGGAACCAGGCAGGAATTTTTTTTTCCGCAAAATCCGACCATTTGGTCGCAGTCTGGAGCCCTGTAATTTAGGGGTAAAGGAAGACTGTAGAGTTTAACAAGTCTTGTGACATCGAGGGGAACTCTTACATTATGCTTGCAGTATTACATCCAAAGGCCCTGGGGCACCGCTGAGAGCCAGAGGTCCTGTTAGTGTGTGTGTCTATGTGGTGTGTAAATGTTTGTGGTCTTTCACACCTATTACGTCCCCAGACCCACATACTCAGCCAAGGTGAAATTATTCCATTTGCCTTGTCAGAACTAAACAAGAAAAAAGTATACCTAAATAAGACACCAGGGTGCATAAAGGCCCTGTATTTTAGTAAGATTCTCATGTGCTGTTTCTGTCACTGTCCAGATCTGATGTTGTGAGTAAGAGAAAATACATTCACATAGAAGTTTACACATCTGGATACAAGTCTTGTGTGTTTTTACCTTGTCATCACTGAGTAAGTTTCACAATTCCTTGCTGAGAGAAAGTTTTAAGAAATCAAGAACATGCACAGCCTCTCGCTGTCTTTGTCTCATGGGCAGAAGCTTTCCATACATGCACTTTTCACTCGCTAATTGGGGCGAAAGCTCTGACAAAAGAAATGAGATTTGGTGTTTTGAAAAAAAAAAGTAATTCATGATATAAAAAGTAGCTTATGCATTAGTTATGCATTTTCCAAGCACATATCTTTGTTTTGACATAACATCTGGGATCTAAAAATGTGGGCATACATATTTTAAGAAGAATGCCAAAGGCAATTGCAGATATTTTGTAGCTTTTAGAATATGTAGGCCTACATAATTGAAACCCACATGATTATAGAAAATTTTGTGTGGATGAACTTAAAATAAAATAGTTTGGTCTCTTTTTCTTACTAAATGCTGTAGGTATAAAGTAGTCAAACAGACTACTGCAGCTTAAAATATAAAATACAAAATAAAAAAAATAAAAATATTAAGGGCTTCAATGGGTTTTTAAATTGAGGTCCGGGGAAATGCTAGGGGGTCTATGGAACATTTGAAATAAAAAATGCATTATATTGGCAACCATAGATTTTAACAGTGAGAACCAAAAGCATATAATCACATTTGCATATTTTTGTAAAAAAAGAAATCACATTACTTCTGACAGTGAATCAAGAATGCTTGATTTCATTGTAGCCATGTTTTTAAAGACAGTATTCTGCCTTGAACTGTACTCTTATATTGGGTAGAATAAAAGATACACTGTCAGTTTAATACAAAGTAAATATTTTCTACATAACATACTTGGCATGGAAAAGCCATTTAGAATAACTGGTATAGAAACAATACTGTGACAAGATTCACTCATCTACATGTGCCAAACTAATCTGTCAAACTCTAAATTAACATATGTCCAAGAACTTGTTTTAGAATCCTTATGTGCTTGATCAAAGCTGTGGAAGGATTGGGAACGACAGATTTATGGGAATGTAGGCTGTTGCTGGTGTAGTTACATTGATGTACTGTATGCAACACAGCAGAGGTCTGCAGTCGGGCCCAGTAGGGGACCCATGCTAACATGTTTCAAATAATTAAACTCATGTTAATTAAAGATGCTGTAAACGATTAAGCACTGTGAAGTTCCTGCCAGACTGCCACAGACATACTGCTGAGACATATTTCCGGGTGAAGCAGCAGAGCACTAGCACGTCATCTCAGTGTTGTCAAAGTAGTCAAAAGCAACAGTAGCAGAAAAGTAGCAACTGCTTATGAAGTTGAGTATTGTTCAAGGTGCTACTGCATCATATATCAGAGTACTGCCCACAAGGCTTTGGTTCTGACATTGGCCAGAATTGTATTATTGTGCATCGTTACAAGTAATACCCATATGTTTAATGCTCTCTCCCTTTTCCTGTGTAGGATCGATCATTGGAACAATGAGAAAGAGCGTTTGGTGCTCATCACAGAGAACACCCTTCTCGTCTGCAAGTATGACTTCATCATGCTTCACTGTGAGCAGATCCAGAAGATTCCACTCAACTTCATCGACCGCATCAGCCATGGTACCTTCTGCTTTCCACCAAATTCCCTCCTGAAGTGAGTAACACCCTTTCCTTCTTCAGTATCAGTTCATTCCTTGTTGAAAAGGTCACATCTCCCTAATGCAACAAAAAGTTTCTGAACGTTCTTCATTTGCCAGCAGTTCCTCAACTTTTAACCGTACAATTGATTTTCATAGTTTCTGTCAACTGTGACCGTCAGAACCAAAAATACAAGCATGGAAAATGATCTATGCTCCACTGATTGTTATTGTGCCACCGGTTGCCATGTGTAATGAAGCCTTGTACATTCAAGAACCCTCAGAAGGTCTTTTTCTAAGAAACATCTTCCACACTGGCTTATTGCCAGTTCTGTTAATCAGTTGTAAATTCCTCCCCACCTTTTGCATGTCATGCTTAATTGCATGATAAGAGGAAAGTCTGGGGAGAGATAGAGCACTAAGAGAGGTGCTCCATATGTAGATGACAAACTTGCAGGGCTTGTCGAGAATGAGAGATGGACTCCTGTTCTGCTTCAGTAAGGACATTGTGGATGTGATAACTGCAAGTAAAGAGAAGCCAGTGTTACTTTAACTGCTTGGTGGTCTTAATAGTAGCTGGACACCTGGTTGAAAATAGTTGGTTATCGAAAAGTTATATGAATAGGAGACACACTACTGTTCAAAAGGTTTGGGGTCAGTAAGATATATTTTTTTTTTTTCAAAGATGCATTAAATTAACTTTTGCATTGTTACATAAATAAATAAATATAATCAAATAAATGCTGTTCGTTTACTTTCTATTCATTAAATAATTCTAAACATTTTATATTTTAAATTGTAATAACATTTCACAATATTACTGTTTTTAATGTATTTTTTTATTTTTATTTATTACTGTAGAAAATGCTAAATTGATTTATATTATATTTTTTGTTATATACTGTTATTGCACATCAAAATTAATTAATTACTGAATAAGTTATTGGATTTATGTCAGTAACATATCTTTTTTCATAAGACTCATAACTGAGTTGCCACTGGAGTACCCAGGTGTTCCAACTGGCATCAGTAACCTGTAATATTCTCACATTAAAGCACTTTGTATGTTTGTGAATATTTAAGCCAATGGCTTTTGACTCTCATTCATTTCTGTAGATTTCTCCATCCTCCATAAAGCCTTAAACAGACAAATGAGGAAAATCTGAGACCATGAGTCATTTTTCTTAACCGTATTAGCAGTTTTTACAGGGTGATAATACCCACAATGCAGCAGGATTTGACAAATGCTATCAGAGGGGAAGGAGGCCAGAGCCTCTTTTCTTCTCTTAATTTTTGTGTGGAGGGATTATGTGAATAGAAATGGGATGTAAGGAGGACTTTATAACGCAGGGAGGGGAGAGCTGTCAGTACAGCTCTTGTGTAACCGATTAGTGGTAGAAATTAATGTAGTCCTTTCATCCAAACCTTTTAAAGCTGGCTCAGGGGACACCAACCCAAGTAAAACTAATTTGATGAATAAAACGTAATGTGGCATGAAGTGCTTAGGAGAGGCAGGCCGTATTGGGCTGACTTTATCTCCCCACATTACATTCAATTATAAATAAAACGCCACTGAAAACCACCCTAGAGTGATGGAGGAGAAAGGCAAGCTTTAAAGCCACTCTCTTCCTTTTTCCTTTTCCTTCCATTTTTGCTTAATAATTTCTTTCCATCTCCCTCATTATTTTGTCTTTTCGCAAACTTAATCTCATGCTCAAGCTGTCAGTTGTTTCTTTTAAACAACTGTGCATGCAGTTCTCCACTCATGTTCTCCTTTTTACTCACAACACACCACTTAAATATTATTCTTATTGATATCCAGGCTGTCATTTCAACTACATTTCTTTTGTCTCTTCAGCTTTAATCACTCCAGTTGATGAGTCGTTTATTCTGTTATTGTCAGTCACCTGTTAGCTGTTTTTGTACAGAACCCCATTTACAGTACAGTAGTGGGACAGCAGAATGCTAACAAACTCAAAAAGGTAAACCTCAGTAATTACCTAACACCACTGTCCAGCATCAGTCCGATGAATTAGTGAATATTGAGTGAATGGAATAAATCATGTATACAGCAAATTGTGATGCCCCACATCACAATATGGTTGCATGCATTTGTGCATTCTAAGGAAACTTAAGGTGTGTTCACACTTGTAGTTCAATTTTCTGGTTCTTTTGGTCAAAGAAAATGATACATTTAACGTTGGTTCACTTAGTGTTCACAGTGTCATTTTTAAGACCGAACTTAAAGACACAAAACAAAAAGATACAGCTTTTATGACATGTATTTTGAGACGGAACTTAACGAACGTTCTAAACCAATACTGTATTCTGGGCTAAATGCGCTAGTTGTAAGTGCGTACATATGGTATTTTTACCAGCTGAGAGCTTGTGAAGAGCTTAGAAAATGTGTAAAGGAGTCAAAACTACCAAACTGTAATGGGTAACGTAGCTCCTATGATGAGAAAAACTGTCCGAAATCGCAAACTGTCTGAGTAGGTACTACATTTGAGGGAATATTATGATTTTGGTTGCAGTGCAGGTATTCTGTCCTTTTTAGGGTCGCATATTGTGACATCACATCCTGTTTTTGGTTCGTTTAGATGTCATTGGTCTGTTGCATTTGTATTTCAGTCAAACCGCACCTTTTCTTTTGGAAGCTGACCCTTTTCAGTGGTCTCGGTACGCTTGTTTGGTATGCACCAGGTTTCAAACTTATTCAAATGTACCGCACTAACAGAGCAATGTCACCAGAGTCTGTTTAAGTTTAACCAAACACACCCTCAACACACCCTTAGTGTGTGAGTTTTTGTGCAACTGTGTTTGTGTTGCTTTGAGCAATTGGATGTTGACACTTGGGGATTTTTTGGTCATTAGTTTATCAAAGTATCAGCTGAATATTATTGTAATATCCCTGACAGGGTGATCAGGACCCCATGGGTTTTGTATCATCTGACTTATTTTCTGCTACCACTATGGGTATATTAATGGAATATATTACTATTTTGTTACCGATACGGATAAGTGTTCTTTATTAATTTATCAGTATCAGTCAAGATTAGATACACTACCATTCAAAAGTTTTGTGAAATATTAAAATTTAAAGCTGCAGTCCGCAGTTTTTCCTCTTTATCGCCATCTCTGTTTGAAATCTGCAATTGCAGTTATTCGCAGAATTATCAACTTTACATGAGTTGTACTTTGACACGGCACAGCGCGGATGAACACAATGTTTGAGGAGAGTGTGAGGCTGTCAGTCACTACGCCGGTGTGGATACTGGCATTCAGAATCACAGATTATTCTTTTTGAAAGTATGACCAACATAAGAATTTACACCGGAAAATGTCATCTGAACAAGTAAGAAACATCCACTTTTGTTCTGGTTCTGACATTGCAGTAAATCGCGCTGATTAAATCTAACAATCGCTTATCATATCACGCAAAACCGTGCAAATTATACTTTGTTCTCAAATTGTTAATGTTAATAACGTCAGCATTGCGTGATTACATGTAATGTCATTCCGATATTATCCTTGTTTTCGCATGGGTCCGGTTGCAGTCTCTTTTTTTCTGTAGCCACTCCGAAGTCCGAACAAAGTCTTTTGCATTTTACAACCGGTGAATCTGTTGTCACTGGTGATTGTTGTTTGAACCTTTCTGGATCCGCCATCAAATTGATAAGTTTAATTATATCAAGTGCTGTGAGAAAAGGCTATAAATCTCCACCTCCAACATCCTCACACACAACATAGCCTACTAGCCGAGACTCCTTCTTTATGTGTACAGATGTGTGTGTGCAGATGTGTGTGTACTGATGTGACGTAATGAAGCAAAGACATGCTCGAATCTCCCGCAGAAATCCACCAGTACCACTGGAATTAAAAACATTATTACAAGCTTACCGCTTTGAATCTAGCTAAGGCAAGCAGATAGTTTTGAACACTGGCTGGCTGTGTATTTTCTCAAATATGTATTTTGGATAATTTTTAACCCAAAAAAAGCTACGGACTGCAGCTTTAAAACAGCTGTTTGTAACATATTTCAAAATGTAATTTATTCCTGTGATGGCAATAGCTGAATTTTCAGCATCATTACTCCAGTCTTCAGTGTCACATGATCCTTCACAAATCATTCTTATATGCTGATTTGTTGCTTTAGAAACATTTATTATTATTATTAATGTAAACTGTGATAGTTTTTTTCTTCTTAGGATTCTTTGATTAATAGAAAGTTCAAAAGAACAGCATTTATATGACAGATTTTTTTTGTCACATTACAAATTTCTTTACTGTCACTTCTGATCAATTTATTGTATCCTTGCTGAATAAAAGGATTCATTACTTTAAAAAATCATAATGACCCCAAACTTTTAAATGGTAGTGTATATCTGCCAATATTGTATATTTATGTCCACCTGTTTTCACATTTAGGTTACATTTATTGTCATCTCTAGGAGCATTTTTATGTACTGCATAATGTTTTAGAAGATCTCAATATGAATATCCATTTTTCATATTGTAAGTAATGTTGTGATGCCTAAATTCAGCTGTAGAGTTTAAAACTATTGATTTTAATTTAATGTATAGTATTTTTTTTTTTTTTTTTTTTCAAAGTAGTATAGAATGTAATTAATAACATGAAAATAATTAACTGTATCAGCCAGAATTTGAATGTGCATTCCTATATTCTCAGCTCTGTCGAAAACATTCAGTCATACATAAAGCCTTCAAGCCATCAGATTTCCAACAATCAGTGCAGGACATGTGGGGAAAAGGTGTGCTGATTATGTGTGGGCTTTTGCCATGAGTCATTACAGTGATAAATGATTGGACTACTGCCTTTACTGAGAATAAGAGAGACAAGCAATTCTTTTTGAGATTCTCTACCCTTTCTGTTTTTAATTTCTAAGCTTCTAAGACAATACACCTCTTAAGAAAGAGCACTGGATGGATATTCATACAGTCCAGTATTTTTTTTTTATGATAATCAGATTTATTTACAGTGCAGCCCAAAAAAATG